GAGACACGTAGCAGCGACCAGATCTCAGGGCTCTCCTCGTCCGTCCTCCCTCCCTCCCTCCCTCCCCCACTCGTCTCCCCCCGTGCGCTGCCCAGCAAGTGGCTGCACGTGAAGGACGTCGGCTTCCTGCCCGTCGAGCTCGACGGCTTCCGCGTGCTCGAGAAGCAGGAGGCTGCGGGTCAGCGGGTAACACTCAGGGGGGATAGTCTCAGCGGGGAGCGCATCGACCCCCGATCGCCCCTATCACCGCCGGCGAGGGCCCGATAGCCCAAACCCGCCCAGCAGCATGCGGTTTCGCTCTCGGTGGCCCATCGCCGATCGATACGAAAGGTATCGACGATTCCAAGTCGATGTAGCATGGTTCCCTCCTGAGCTGCCCCCCCTCTATCGTTGCCCCTTCCGCGCGGGCGGGACGAGGAGGAAGGGCGGGGACCTGACGCTTTGCGATCGTCCGGCAGCATGTCGAAGAAGATCGGGCAGTGCCAAGGAGGGTCACCACAGGGGGGGTCCGCAGCTCCTCCTGCAACACTCGTCAAACATAGTGACTTTTAGTGCCAAGTAAAAGAAATGATAACTGTTACATGTGTTGGGCGGCGTTGGGCCGTACAGGATTGTAGTGCACGATGTCGTGAAGCAAGGGTGTCCGAGATGGCTTCCGCAACAGTTGTTGTCGTGAAGCAAGGGTGTCCGAGATGGGAACCGTTTTCCGGTCTCCTGTGGCTTGCTGACTTTCTGGGGACCCCATGCGGCCTCCTGAGGTCACCAGCGGGAGGTTCCCACAGCTTGCGTCGGTGACCTTCTGGGGCCCCCAAGCGACCTCCTGAGGTCACCGGCCTGGGGTTCCCACTGCTTGCGTCGGTGACCTTCTGGGGCCCCTTTGCGGCCTCCTGAGGTCACCGGCCGGGGGTTCCCACTGCTTGCGTCGGTGACCTTCTGGGGCCCCCTTGCGGCCTCCTGAGGTCACCGGCCGGGGGTTCCCTCTGCTGTTGCATCGCATTGTGTTGCATAGCATCTTTGCTGCCACTGTGCTCATGCTGTTCCGTGGCCTTTGGCTCAGTGGCCAAACTGGTGCTCATTCTTATTGACTCTGTGATTTCTCAATCTCGTGCGCGCACCCCGCGCGCGGCTGCAGCGCGGGCGCCGCGCTGCTTTGGGCCCGCAGGCGGGGCCGGGCCATGGTTGACCCGTCCGCCAGCGAGCTCCGGGGGTTGAACAACCTCCAGGACATCCAGAACTGGGTCGGTCTCCAGCCCACTGTGTGGGCGGCTTTGCAGTCCGAGCTCGGGGAGGTTGCGCAGATCCGCGAGGTCGTCCTCATTCCTCCTCATGCTTGGATCGCCGGCGTGGCGGCCGCCCGGGTGCAGGATGCCACCCCTGAAGGCGGGGACCCCCCACCGCCCCGTCCTCTCCGTGGCGTCGAGTTGGGGCATGCGCGGGGGTTTCGTCGCGTCTGCCGGCTGCGCCTCGGACTACCTGCCGACGAAGAAGGCGAGGGCTCCCCTTCTGGGGGCGGCGGCGGAGTGGCGGCGCCGGGGAACCCTCTTGGGCCCCCGGAGGTCGTCAATGCGAGCTCCATCAGGAAGGTCAAGATGTCGACCATCTTCGACCAGGCGGACGACTCCGAGATCGCCCCCTGGTCGGCCCAACGGACGCGAACGGTCATGGCGGCCTTCAAGGCGGCCAACGACGACGAGGACCCCGAGCCAGACGAGGACGTCACTGGGGACCAGCTGGCGGCCTTGGAGCATCGCATCCAGACGGGCGCGTGCCCCTGCCCCGACTTCGGGGTGTGGCGGCCGTACGGCCAGCGGTTCGCGCGCACCCTCAAGCTGGTCGTGCATCACATCACGCCGGCCGGCGACTACAGGCCTTACGAGGTGCCAGGGCCGCCGACGTTCGCGGAGTGGCTGCCTGCGTTCCGAGTTTTCTCGGTCGGCATGCGTGCGCTCGGGGCCGCCACGACCACGAGGCTCCAGCTGTACCAGAACAAGATCTCCAAGTTCAACAACACCTACGGCGAGGTCTGTTGGTGGTTGGTCGCGCTGGCGGATCAGCGGATGCGATCCGAGCGCATGGAGCGCATCAGGAGGCGCGCCGAGGAAGAGTACGCGGCTGCGCAGGTTTCGGGGGCGCCGCACGCCTTCGACCCGAAGATGCCGTGGGACTACTGCTTCAAGGCCGCCGCTGCCGACTCCGATTTCTGGGATGAGGAGCTGGGGCGCAAGGCGACGCTCTGGGTCACCCACCTCAGGACCAGGCAGCAGCTCACCGACGACGGCACTGGGCATCCCGGCCCTGGCGGAGGCCCCAGCGGAGGCCCAGGCGGAGGCTCGGGAGGAGGTGGAGGCGGCGGCACAGGCGGCAACGGCGGCGGCAAGCGCGGTGCGAAGCGCGCCTGGGGGAGCCAGGACCGCGCAGCCTCGGACTCCAGCCAGTTTGGAGGCAGCGGCCGCGGTCGCAGCGGAGGACGCGGCGGGGGCCGTGGCGCCGCGGGCGGCGGCAAAGGCAACGCGAAGCATCCGGACGGCAGGTGGCGTGGGGACGAGAGAGGCAAGCCGCTTTGCTGGGCGTGGAACCACAACGCCAATGGGTGCAGCGAGGTGTGCGCCAACGGCAGGGTGCACGCCTGCGAGTGGTGCAGGTCCCCAAAGCACAGATCCATCGAGTGCCGCCAGAAGCCTGACGGGTGGTCGCCGCCCCGTTGACTATCTCCCCAGGCAGGCGAGCGCGGCCGTCCAGAGTCGAGCGAACGGCCAGCGGACCCGCTGGGGAAGATGCGGAAGACAGAACTGCTCGACGAGGGCGGCGGCGCGTCGGTGCGTCAGTTGGGCACCCGCCTTCGGCAGATTTTCGGCTGCGCGGGCGATGCCTCGGCGCCCGCCGATGCAGGCGCCGCCCCGGGATCATCCGGCGCCGCGGAGTCGGTGCAACGCCCCCCCACACACTGGAGGCAAGGAGGAGGCACCAGGAGCAGGAGCCGCTTGCAGGAGAAAGCGAGGAGCGGCAGGCGTCGCTCTCCCTCCCTGGAGAGCCGCCGGAGGAGGAAGCGCGGCGGAAGAGGGAACGGCTCCCCGCCGAGCCGTGGGCGTCCTGTCCTTGCTGACGCCTCCGCGGGCGAGGCTTCCCGGGTCAGGGATCGGACAAAGACGCAGCGATGCTTCCGCCCTCGGTCCGATCAGGGAGCGCGCGGCAGGGGCGGCAGGCAACGCTCCGCCTCACCAGAGGGCGCACCCGGCCAGGGTCACCGAGAGCACAGGCACGGCCCGCTGCCGCACCGGGGGCGTTCGGTTCTTGCCGGCGCCTCTGGAGGCAGCCCTCCCCGAGTGGAGAAGCATGCGGACCAGTCGCGGGGCACCCGCCCTCGAGCCCGCTCGCGCTCAGCTGCCGGTCGGGCCGCGCGGATCGGCGACCTCCGCGCGAAGCACGACCGCTTGCAGGAGGTCATCCGCCAGCGGAAGGACCGGTTGCGCCTGGCCGGGGTGCGCCAGGAGGCCGAGGCGTCTGGGCGGGGTCGAGCCGCGCAAGACGCAGGCGGACGATCACCCCCAAAGGCACCAGCGGGCACGTCGCTTGCCAACCCAACGGCTGGCTCCCGGGCGGCGCGGCGGGCAGAAGAGAACGAGGCGTGCATCGGCGGGCTCCGGGCGCCGTGGAAGGCCGTCAAGAAGCTCCCGATGCTCGCGGAGACCGGTCGGAAGATCGGGGCCTTCCTCGACGAGTTCTTGGACCAGCATCCCGATTTCCTCGACCTCCCCGACGGCGGCGAGCGCGCTCAGGAGCTGGTCCGGGATCCGCGCCTTCGCGCGGCGCGGGAGGACTTGCGTCGCGCCCTCGGCGCGAAGGAGGCCAAGGCGCATAAGCGGACGCCCTGGAAGCGGGACATCGTCGAGGCGCACGTGGCTGCCTCGCAGGACCCGGAGGTGCACCTTGGAGATTGGCTTCGGGACGGCGCCCCCATCGGCGTGGCCAGACCGGTGCCGAGCTGCGGGATCTTTCCCCAACTCGGCCCGGCCGCGAAGGAGCGCACGCAGGCGCATGAGGTGCTATCGTTGCTGGAGGCGCACGGCAACTACAAGAGCTGCGAGGAGGCCAGGGTGCACGCGGAGCCCGAGATCGAGAGGATCATCAAGGAGGGTTTCGCGGTCAGGTTCAAGTCCTGGAAGCAGGTCGTCGGCACTTACGGCCCGGTTGCGGCGTCCAGGCTCGCTTGCATCGTCAAGGACCGGAAGGACGGCACGAAGAAGGCCAGGATCATCATCGACCTCCGCAGATCGGGCGTCAACAGGTGCGTGCAGGTCGACGAGAGGATTGTGCTTCCGCGCCCGAAGGACATCCTCAGCAATGCCATGCACCTTCTGCGCCACGCCGCGGAGGACGAGGAGGTCGAGGCGATGGCGTTGGATTTCAAGGACGCCTTTCACACGCTGCCAGTCCATGCAGACGAGCTCCCGTATGGCGTGGCGAAGGTCTTCGACGGCGAGTACGTGGTGTTTCGTACGGTGGTCTTCGGCGGCGAGGCGAGCCCGCTGCTCTGGGGCCGCGCGGCGGCGTACGTCATGCGCGGTGCGCAGTCGATCTTCGAGCCGGAGCATCTCCTGGGCGAGTGCTACGTCGACGACCCCCTGGTGCTCGCCGTCGGCACGGCCGAGACGCGGAGGCGGCGGTTCGCCAAGTTCCTCCTCTGGCCCATCCTTCTGGGACTGCGGCTTTCTTGGGCCAAGGTCTCGCGGGGGAGGCGGGTCGAGTGGTGCGGCGTGGAATACCGCCTCGTCTCGCGGTACGTCGTGCAGGCGGTGCTGGCGCAGGCTTTCGCGCAGGAGTTCAAGGCGGAGATCGAGCAAGCGACGAGGCGGCCGCTCATTACGCGGTCGGAGCTGCGGCGCATCGCGGGGAGGGCGTCGTGGGCGACAGGTCTGGTGCCGACGATGCGCTCTTTCATCGACAGCCTGTGGGCCACGCTGGCCGACCTCAATGCCGCGTCCAAGGGGGATTCGGGGATCCCCTGGATCGGCAGGGACCCCCAGCCAGCTGCGCAGACCTCGCGCATCATTGTCGCGTTGGCGTGGTTGCATGCCTTCCTCGAGGGCGTTGTCACGGGTGGTGATCCTGGTCGGACGGTCGACGTCAGGGAGTGGTTCCGGCAGCCGTCCATCGAGATCGTCTGCGATGCTTCCCCGTGGGGCCTGGGGGCGGTCCTATGGGTCGACGGGGCCGCTCGCGCTTACCTTTTCGACGAGGTCGGCCCGGCGGACGTCGAGGAGCTGGGGGTCGAGAAGGGTTCGTGCAAGGCCCAGGCGGTCCTGGAAGCGCTGGCCATTGCGGTCGCGGCGCGGACTTGGCTTCCCAGGTGGGCGCAGCACCGGACTGGCGTTCGAGTCAAGAGCGACTCCATGGCGGCGCTCGGGGCCCTTGGTAAGATGGCCAGTCCAACGCCCGCCATCAACAAGATCGCCAGGGAGATCGCCCTCGACGTGGCGCAGAGTCGGTACGGCATCGACGTGCTGGAGCACGTGCCGGGCGAGCTCAACGACGTCGCGGACGCACTGTCGAGGGCCTTCGAGCCGGGCGGGCGCTTCGCGCTCCCCGAGGTCTTGCGGCAGGCTGGGTGCACGCGGACTCCCGTGGCCGCGCGCGACGGGTCGTGGTGGCGCTCCATGGCCCTCACGCGGACGGTGCTGGACAAGGCTGCTGGCGGGCGACGGTGCCGCGACGAGCCACGCTCGGCGCCTTGAGCGGAGGCGCGCCGGAGGTCCCGCCAGGCGAGCTATCGGAGATGCCTCCCCGCCTGGGCGCGACAAGGGCGCAGGCTCGTTGGAGCGGGGCCTCCCGCGAGTGATCCGCGTCGTCAACGCTCCCGCCGACGCGCTGCACGAGGGGCCGAGGCGGGTCGACGGCGCGCAGGGGCGCCGCGGCCGCGAGGAGGAGGAGAGGAGTAGCGGCGGGGTACCGGATGCTCTCTTGGGCCCGGGACCCGCGCCAGCCAGGCGAAGGTGGGATGAGACGGCGGCAGCGGCGCCAGCCAAGCGTGCCTGCTTGGCAGGGGCGCTGCAGGTCATCGGATGTCCGCAGCGCTCCGCTGCCGCCGCCGCAGAGTTCAGGGAAGCCACCCTGGCGGTGACGACGAGGCCCGTGATGGACAGCTACACGAAGGCCCTCGTCTCGCTGGCCAGGGCGGGCGGCTTCGATTTGCTGCCGTTTACGCCAGAGAAGGCTTACAGGATCGGCGGCGCGCTGCGTGCGGCCGGGTACAGGTCCACAGCGTGCTATCTGGAGAGGTATAAGCAGATGCACGTCGAGGAGGACTACGATTGGTCGGTCAGGCTGCACGGTGTGATGAGAGGGTGCCGACGTGCGTCGATCAGGGGCCTCGGGCCGCCGACGCACGCGGCGGTCTTCACCCTGGAGTCGTGGCTGGTGGCTGCCCATGTGAAGCGAGCGCACGCCCAGGGCGGTCCGACCGAGCCCGGTCGCTTCATCACTGTGGGCACTTGGTGGATGCTGCGGGAGATCGAGGTGGCCCTCCTCGCAATCGAGCGCGTCCGCTTCCTGGAGGAGACGGACTCAGTTGCCGTGGACCTGGGCGTCGCGAGGAAGGATATCCAGGGCTGCGGATGCACCCGGGTGCACTCGTGCATCTGCCAGTGCAGGCCGGAGTGGCAAGCCATCTGCCCAGTGTGCGTCGTCCGAGCCCAGCTCCAGAAGCGACGGGCTGACCAGGCGGAGCCTTGCGACCCATTGTTCGCGGACGCCGCCGGCTACGCGGTCGTCAAGAGGGCCGCGGTCGCGACCATGCGCGCGCTGCTTGTGCCAGAGGGCGCTGGACAGGTGAACGGCCACTCCTTGCGGCGCATGGGCGCGCAGCTGCTCGCCGCGGCAGGCGTCGAGCAGTGGCTGGTCGAGTGGTTCGGCCGATGGGGCTCCGACGCCGTCAAGCGCTACGTCGAGGACGCGCGGTCGCGGGCCCCGCAGGCACGGTCTCTGGCGCTTCGGGCGGCCCGAAGCGATGCCAACGTGGAGCCGGGGCCTGCGACGATGGCCGCGGCCGGGGCGCGCGATGCCCCGCTGGCGCGCGAAGGGGAGGAGGAGCGCCAGGGCGGCGCAGCTGGCCCGATCGGCCTCGAGGAGTTGGTCGGGCGCCTCGTGGAGGAGAGGATGCGGGAGAGGGAGGAGAGGTTACGCCTCGTCTCCTACGCTCTCGGCAAGACACATGTCGCGAGGGCCCGCGCGTGCGAGTCGAGAGTGCCCCGCGAGCGGAGCTCGCTGTGCGGCTGGCATTTCGGAGGTCTCCCACAGTCGGCCCTCACCTTCCACGAGGGGCGCGCTGACTTGCATGACGCCTGCAGGAAGTGCGTCCGGCTCGCGGCCTCGCGTGGCTGGCCGGTGGACTGCGCTGCAGCCGGCGCCGGCGGCGAGCGTGGCGAAGGCAGCTCGTCCTCGCAGTCATCCGATTCCGGTTCTGGGTCGGACAGGCCGCCGTCGGACGATGCCGAGGCGGGTCGAGGCGAGACCGAGGACGAGGCTCCCGGTGCTCGTGCTTGACGTCTCGCCGTCCTGGCTCTCTTGGGCAGGGCGGGGGACAGTGTGCTTCATTTTGGGGCCGAGTTTTGGAACGTACGCTGGGTCGGGTCGCGGCCAGGGCGGGCGTGCCAGTCGCGAGCGACGCCGGCGCCCCGATCCAGGCGCACTGAGGAAAAGAGGAGCTTCGAGCTTCGACCTCTCTCACCCCACCCTCCGTCCTCTGTCTTCGGCGGGCGGGGGGGGTATCACATGTGCAACAAGTTATCGTGACTTTTAGTGCCAAGTAAAAGAAATGATAACTGTTACATGTGTTGGGCGGCGTTGGGCCGTACAGGATTGTAGTGCACGATGTCGTGAAGCAAGGGTGTCCGAGATGGCTTCCGCAACAGTTGTTGTCGTGAAGCAAGGGTGTCCGAGATGGGAACCGTTTTCCGGTCTCCTGTGGCTTGCTGACTTTCTGGGGACCCCATGCGGCCTCCTGAGGTCACCAGCGGGAGGTTCCCACAGCTTGCGTCGGTGACCTTCTGGGGCCCCCAAGCGACCTCCTGAGGTCACCGGCCTGGGGTTCCCACTGCTTGCGTCGGTGACCTTCTGGGGCCCCTTTGCGGCCTCCTGAGGTCACCGGCCGGGGGTTCCCACTGCTTGCGTCGGTGACCTTCTGGGGCCCCCTTGCGGCCTCCTGAGGTCACCGGCCGGGGGTTCCCTCTGCTGTTGCATCGCATTGTGTTGCATAGCATCTTTGCTGCCACTGTGCTCATGCTGTTCCGTGGCCTTTGGCTCAGTGGCCAAACTGGTGCTCATTCTTATTGACCCCACCCTCCCAGGCCCTTCGAATGCGTGGACGACCCCCACCTCTCCAGGTGTGGCCTTTTGGCCCACGTGGAGGCGCTCAGGCGTGCAGCACGGCGCGGTAACGCCGAGAGGGGTGAGTTGTGTGATGTTGTGAGGGGTGCGTTCACTTCCGAGGGGGCGGGCGTGCGGACGTGCCAGTCGCGAGCGACGCCGGCGCCCCGATCCAGGCGCACTGAGGAAAAGAGGAGCTTCGAGCTTCGACCTCTCTCACCCCACCCTCCGTCCTCTGTCTTCGGCGGGCGGGGGGGGTATCACATGTGCAACAAGTTATCCATTGAGAAAATTTGTTTTCGGTACTTGCGTGGTCGGCGCTACTTTAATGCTGGCATGAGGTTCGGCCCAGACGCAGGGGTGTCCGAAATCCGGCAGTACCCTCACAGCACTGAAGAGCGCGTTTTCGAACAAGTGCCCGAACCATCGAGCGCCTCGATTTTGAACAGCGTGTCAGTTTTCTGTCGAGTCTTGCAGCTTCGAAGCTCGAGGAGGTCTTTCCACGTTTGGGGTCCTCTTGGAAAGGTGAGGGAAGGAGGTTTTACCTCAAGGAACAAAGTGGACCCCCCAGTGGTGACCCCCCGTGGCACTGCCCCAGAAGAAGGAGAGGAGGAGGAGGAGGAAGAGGAGGAGGAGGAGGAGGAGGAGGAGGAGGAAGCGGAGGAGGAGGAGGAAAAGGAGGAGGAGGAGGAGGAGAAAGAGGAGGAGGAGGAGGAGGGGAGGAGGAGGAGGAGGAAGAGGAGGAGGAGGAGGGGGAGGAGGGGGAGGACTCCAAGACGAATCTTTCCTTTAGGGGTGGAAGGTCCCCAGGTGACTGGGCTTTGAAGCGCAGCCATTAACAAATGGGTTCCGAACCATGGCGCGCATCGTTCGGCGCCCACCCGTGGGCCTCAAGCCTGACCATGGGGATACATCTCCAATGGCGGACGGTGGAGAATGGCAAGGTGCCAGTGACGAGCGCTCGAGATGTGGAAACAGATGGCAGGGGCGCGGCCGCAGGTTTAGAGGGGAGACAAGATGACTGAGGATGGCCGGAGGGAAACACAGAGATGGAGGACGAGCCAAGCCAGGACAGGAGGATAGAGGAGTGCAGCTAGGAATCTGGCAAAGAGCACAGAAAAGGGGGGGAAGCGCGTAGCTGGATTCAGGAAGGTCCGGCGGAGAGGGACGATGGCATCACCCAGCGCGACGCCATCCCCGACAGCCTGAGTAGCGCGGCGGACTCCCAACGATGATGTTCACGTGATTAGCTGCTGCCGTGAGCTTTGCATTCATGGCAGTGGTGTGCGCTGATGGGGCCGAGCGCACGCAAAAAGCGTCGTAAACACACACTGCGAAACGCCACACAGTGAGGCGCGAAGATTTCTGGCAAAAGCGGCATATTTCTTCACACCCCGTCTTCGCCAGGAAACCGTGCAATTCATTGGTCCGAAGCACTCTTTGTGTTGCGCGCCCAGCATCTCAATATCATTGCTCTGTGCTGCCCTGCGTGCTCACGCCTTCAATCGAAACATGCTTGATGGACCTACCAGGGAAAGGGGGGAAATTCTGTCCAAAACAGCCTTTTGCTACAGCATTTCCCCCTCGGGCGTTCCGAAGGGGATTCGCGCGCCTCGGACGGCCCTTCTCCCGAAGCCAGCGCAGAACAGTTGCAACATGGACCGGCAACGGGGATCCGGGGGACGGGGAGGAGGAGGAGGAAGAGGCGGCCTGGACGTTTGCGAGTGCCCGCGTGGCCCACCGGAGCGCCCCTGACCGGGAAGCCCACGCTTCAAAGGTCGGTCTGACTCCCGGGTGGCTGCCGCACGAGACGCGGCGCCCTGGCGCGAAAGCCAGATGTCACGTAATCCAGAAACCCTTGTAATGAGGACACGAGGTCGTTTCAAAGCAGTCCCCCGGGACTGCTTTGCGCTTCAAAGCAGTCCCCCGGGACTGCTTCGAACGCTGCCCTCACGAGGCGACATGGGGGGCAGAGGGACCGTGCCAATGCGTGCGCGCAGCCAGTATAGAGTACGTTTAGCAACCGCTGCCTCGCGGAGCGAGGTGAGGGCGGAGCGGAGCTGGGAAAACAGCAAGTGCCCTGCCGACCGGAAGTGTGCCCAACCCTCTGGCTCAGGCTCGGGGCCGACTGGAGCGGTGGCTGGGATGCGCGGGGGGGCGCCTAAGCTGGGAGAGGAGGACTTCGCGCCCCAGGTCTGCCGAGAGCGTGACAGGCCTGTGCCCCGCCAGCGCTGCAGTCTTGAGTTCCTGATCCACCCGGACCCTTGAGACCAGCGGGACCAGTCCGCGAGAGACCAGGGAGAAGTCAATCGTAGAGCGGGTTTTCCTGGTGAGCTGCGTGCAGTGGGGCGGGGCCACAGCGCCGAAGCCACGACGCTCGCAAAAATCTGTGCTGGAGAGGAGAGAGGGACACACATTGAAACCGGCGCCTACGATCATACCCATGGCACTGTGGTGTTGGATGATGCCGAGGTGGCTAAGCAAAGCACGGTTCTCAGCACTGAGTCGGACCACCGGGTGGAGGTAGAGCGAGACAAAGATCGCAAGCGAAAAGCGAGCGAGCCGCGAGACGTCGGGGGAGTGAGAGACCGTAGAGGGGAGTGGTGAGAGACCAACATCTTCCGCCTTGGCGGACCAGGATCGCAACGCCGCCTTCGGGGCGATCGGCCTCAGAGCGGCTAGCAGGGGAAAAAACGGAGTACCACCCGAGACGCTTGCACGTCTCAGAAGCAAGCTTCGGACCGTGAGCGTCAACCAACAGGGCCTCCTGGAGATTCAGGACCCGGCAAGAATCAAGGCGCCCAAATTCTAAGAGCGGGATGCGGAGGTTTGGAGTACCATGGAAAGCAACATCTGGTACTCGCCAGGCCGGCCCGGCTGTTGGCCAGCGTCACCCCGGCGACCAGCGCCCATCAGCTTCCGCCGTGGCGTCCGTGTTTCCATCCAATTCGTCCCCGGGCTGGGTGCCCTTGTCGGCTCCGGTCGCGATGTTTTACAATGTTGCGATGTTTGACGCGACGTTGGATCTCAGGGGAGGAGGAGAGGTGAGGGTGGATGGGGTTTTTGCGCTAGGCCATTTCAGTCAGCACGGCCCTGGGGGGAGGGCGGAGGAGGGGGACGGAAGGAGCGGGGAGGAAGGAGGGGGATGAGGAGGAGGAGGAGGAGGAGGAGGAGGAGGAGGAGGAGGAGGAGGGAGATGATGAGGAGGATAAGGCGAAGGGATGAGTGTCGGCGGCAACGATAGGGGCGATGGGCACGGTTGGACAAATCGACCCCCCAATCGTCCATTTATCGCCGATAGGGGCCCGATGGCCCCAACCTACCCAGGAGCGTGCGGATTGACTCTCGGGGGCTTATCGCCGATTTATCGGCGATGTATCGCCGATTCCAGGTCGATATATCACCCCCTATGCCAGTCCCACTACCGTCGACCATCATGAGTGAGGAGGGCGGGATGGAGCCGCGGGCAGGGAGGACGGGGAGAAGGGTGAGGCTGTCAGACCGCGGCGGCCGTGTTAGGCCTTGTTATTGTCTCGACTGTTTGCGGATGCAGCGGACGTGGTGGGCTTGGACGGCACGCAGCATGCTTGGAGCTCACGTTTTCGCTTGCGGGGTGGGGTGGTGTACTGGATTGCCGGTCGCTAAAACGCCTCCAGTGTTGGCAGCGGGGAAGGCCTTGGTTGCGCTCAGTCAGAGCGGTGTCTCTGTCAGTGCCGTGAAGTTTTTGCCACCCGTGCCGTCCAGGCCCACAGGCGAGACGTTGAAATGAGGAGCAGCTCGGATTCGGAAGGGGCTCGCTGTTGCTTGGGTCCTTCTGCGATCATTCCTCTAGCGTTCCTCGTGCATACTGGCGCCTCTGGGGCCAGGGTAGGCCAGACCTATGCTGGAATACCTGGGCGCCGACTTGGAGCAGTATCGGAACCTCATGCGAGGACGATTGTTGTTCGTTACGTCATTTACAAAGGATCGTGGCCTCGGGGACGCGACTCAGGCGTACGTTGCGGGGGATCATCGCCTCGCAGATGCGAATCTGGCGAAATTGATGTGGACTGTGGTTTCGGGGGCGCGAACCTGGCGCCATCTGTAAAGGGATCGTCGCCTCTCGGGGACACGAACATGTTGTAAATTACTAAGGATCGTGGCCTTGGGGGCACAAACGGGGCGTAATTTACAAGGGGATTGTTGACTCGGGGACGCGAAGTTGGTGCGATGTTTGAGAAATCGTCGGCCCTGAACGTGCACACACTGCAATGTTTGAAGATGTTGTAGCCTTGGGGGCGCGAACCTGGGATAAGTTATGAGGGCTCGTGGCCTGGGGGGGCGCGGC